CACATCGAGCTACCAATGTTCGATGTCCGAACATCAAGCATCCACATCGTGCAATGTAAACGGGCAGGTTGTACTGGTACCAACATCGAGCTACCAAGCTCAGACATCAAGCACCAACATCGACCAGGTCAGCTCGATGTTAACACCCTGTCTGCCAAAAACTCTTTTAAAGGTACCTAACTCCACTCCTTTCTTATGCAACCTTTTGTATTCATTCTTAGTATTCCTTATCAACCTCCTTCAAACTTCTATTACACACGAGACTTTGTAATATAAGTGTGGGGGAGGGCATTGCATTTGATATTGTGTTTTGTTTTCTAATTTTCCCTTTTTGCATACTTGAGTCTCATGCATTCATGCATTCATCTATATGCACTGAAACTCCATGAAATTTTCAATTTTTTGGAACCAAAAAGAATTATTTAGGTTCATTTGCATAATTAAGATTGATTTTAGATGCACTTCATATAGCTTTGCACACATTTTGATAGGGAGTAGATGATAAACACTTGTCAAGATGTTAATGTTTGAGTTATTTTCAGTGCCTTGGTTATCTGTTGTTTGAATGCATTGTAGTGAGTTTGAAGTTAAGGATGCACTATACTTTGAACTCTTTCATTGATATTCTTGTCTTATGCTGAAACTTGCTTTGATTTGATTCCAACTCTATCTTATTAGAACCATAATCCTGACTTTGAATTATCTTGTTTGTGCATTGAAAGTTATTACATGGCTACCCATATACATACTTGTATTATATTCTTGCCTTCTTACCACTCTTGTTAATCCAAGTAGCTGATCCTCAATGTTATGGGACAGTTAACCACACCCTAAAGCAATCCTTATTCTGAACTTAAACACTATTGTGAGAGTTGTGAAGCCTTGCATTGCATCATTTTCGATTTTATCGTGCCAAAAATTATTAGGAATAAGACTGGCAAGGAGAAGCTCTCTTGTAGACACCAGCTTGCATTTTGAGCTTGGTACTAGGTTAGGAGATTGGGAAAGGGTAGTGTTAAGTGGTATGTGCTTTAATTGTTTATATCTTTTGAGAAGAAGAAGAAGTATGGGAAAGGTAGTATGGGGAAAGCAAGTTAGTTTGTGGTTAAGTAAACAAGGAAGAAAGCTCTAAGTGTAAAAGAAGAGAAGGTGCAAACAACAACAATGCCTACAAAAGTCATCCAAAAGGAGAAATCAGACCAAGCAATCTACCAAAGGTGATGAAAATGGCGCCTACACACAACAAAGAAGAGCAAGTTCGAAAAAGAGTCAACCACACAAGCAAAGAAGAAGGATTTTCCCCCACACATCAATAAGAAGAAGATGGGAAGTGCCTTGAGAAAGGGTACATCTAGAAGTTTCACTTGGGGGTTTAAAAGATATTAGGTTCGTCTTTGGGTAAAAAGGGTAGATGAGAGCTTTTACTTGCATGCATAAGTGTGCTTTTACCTTTAGCATTTTGCCTAAGATAGAATCATTTCATTGAGTGATCCCTTGAGTCTTTGAACCCTTATTTGAATGAGATCATTTTCATCTCATAACCATGTCCCTTTGACCAAATGTTTTCACTTGATTTGCATAAACTTGATTCATTGGTTACCATTAATGAATGTTAAAGATTTGGTTGATTTAAATGCTTGTGTAGGCTAAGCTAGAGTTCATTGTTTGCTATGATAGGTATTGCTAATGCTTTTGAAGTAGAACAATCTTTATGCATCTTAGAACCTATATAACTTGGGCACTGAATCAGTTTTTCCATTGACATCTTTAGTTTTGAGCTCCCACCTTCAAACCTCATTCTCTCATTTGTTCTTATTTGCTTGAGGACAAGCAAAAGGAAATTGTGGAGGTGTTGATATACTCATTATTTATACCATATTAGCATATATTTTGCATTGTTTCATAGTCTCTAGACATGCATTTTTGCTTGTTTTTGTCCCATTTGCATTCAATTAGGACTTAGTGTAGATTTAGGATGTGCATTGCATGTTTTGTACATTTGGGGAGTTTGGCAGGTATGTTTGGGGAGTATGGAGACTACAAGGAGAATGGGAGATGATGGTGGATGCAGCACAAGGCATGAAAAGAGCCAAGAAGAAGGTGCACCTTGTTGAAGCAGCCAGAAAATTCACCTGGCAAACCGCCTCGGACAAAGCATCTCCAACCCGATTCAGCTTCAGCAGTCTTCATCAATGTTGTATCCCCGTGAGTTAGCTTGTGTCTGGAGTTAGTTTCAGGTCATTCACATCAGCGGTTTGAAAGTTACATAAGTTTTTCTAAAAGCGCTCAACCTGTGTTGGCCAGCCCATCGCGCAATGTAATGCACCAGAGAGGATGGGAGATCACATCGATCATCAACATCGCACGATGTAAAGCACCCAAGAAGAATGGATATCACATCGAGCATCCACATCGAGCTAGGCTGCTCGATGTCAAGCCACATGACACTTACATCGAGCATCAACACCGCATGATGTAATGTACCAGAGAAGAGTGGATTTCACATCGAGCATACACATCGAGCAAAGCCTGCTCAATGTCTAGCATCCGAAGGCCAACATCGAACACTCACATCGAGCTCCTTAGCTCGAGGAGCTTAATGTTAGCCTATCTGAACAGCTTTTAATTACAGTTTGTTATTCCTTTTGGGTTTTTGTCATTTAGTATAAATACCCTTAGACCAAAGGATTTTAGCAAATCTTGTTCTTGCTTAGTTTCCTAATTGATTTTCTGTTTTTGTAAGAATAAGATCCTTATTTTATTCTAAGTTTTTGTATTTGCAATCTTAATCTTCTCTCTTCTTAATCATGTTTAGCATCTTTTCCCTTTATGATTTGATGGTTTTCATGATGATGAGTGAGTAGTCACCTTAAGGTTCTTAGATGTGGTAGATTAGGAGAATTTAAGACTTGATTAGGGTTTGTTAGTGCTTAATAATGATTGATTCCTCTCTATTAAGTTGTTATTAGGTAGATTAGTCTTGATTACATGAATCTAGATTTAGACTTTCTCTTACGCCCACTAAGTGTTTGATGAAATGCTGATCATGCGTTTTAGAGGATTTACTTGTTTAGCTCAAGAGAACGATTGTCTAAGAAGTATTTTAGCTTAAATAGAGTTGGTTTAGCTTGATTTTTATTGATTCTAGCACTAATGAGAATTAGTTCTTCCTAGGATGTTTAGAAAAGTGTTATTTGCCAAGAGATTAGATTTAACTTGCTTGATTGTGAACTCTATGCCTAGGTATTAGCATTGCTTGCTTGTTTGCATTGTCAATGAGTTTGATAACACCTTAGTCTTGCCTTTGAATTCCCCAAACTCCATAGCCACATGTAGGATCCTTGCTATTATATATTGAATTTCGAATTTGCTTAGTACTCTGTTTTTATTGCTCTGTTTTGTGTTTGATCATTGCTAAATACTGCTTTCACAAGTCTTGCTTGGTTTATGGTTCACTTAGGTTGATTAGCTTAGTAGTTTAAACAACTCATTCTCTGATTTGGCTTGATTTAAGGCATTTTATTGCATTTCTAGTGGCATCTATCTTAGATGTTTGGATTGATAAAAACTCTATGCTATACTACAATGATTAGTACAGGCTTGAGTGATTGAAAGAGACAGAAAAAGTCTTGTATCACTTTTGGATGTTGTTTCTTTTGTAGTTCTTGAAACTGACCAAAAGAGTCATGGATTGTGGTAAACCATTTGCTCTTCCAAGTTAAAATATGTGTTTGGAATAGAAAATGAGATGAAGTTTAGAGACGTTTCAATGGTTTGGTATTTTTGGTTTTCAGTTTTATCGGTTTATTCAAAAATTGAAATCAAAGAAAAGTCATTTATAATTATGTTTGTTCGGTTTGGTGTAGTTTTGGTTCAGTTTAGTTTAGTATCTGTTTAGTTTAAAAAGTAAAAAGTAAATTTTAATCCCTAAAATCCACTATAATTGTATTTTTAACAACCAAATTAGAAAATACTACAATCTAAAACTTATTTTATCAAGTTCAATACTCCTGTGTTCTTGCCTTTCCTTTTTCTGTCAAAATAGAGTTCTGAAAAAACAGAACAACAGATTTTTACATTAGGCAAGCGTGACGTCTGTAAGTGAACTTGAAAGAGTGTGGCATGGGCTATTCGACAGACCTTTGCACCCTTGAGCTAATAAGATCTAGAGCCTTCCTTAGTCTTATTCTAACTCCTTAATAACAACTAAAGAGTGTTCTATTCAAATTTTGGTTTGGATTTCCTGTTTATGTGAAATTGTAGTTAAAATTAAATCTGAAATATTCTAAATGGTTTGTTATGATTTTGTTTCAAATTGAATATGAGGTCTAGTCAAATATATATATCATCATTTTTAAAAATAACATCGGTTCAATTTGGTCCAGAAAAGATGAATTCATTTAAATAACAACAAGATGTGCTTAATTTCCGGATTATTTTTTTGGTTTGGTTTCAGATCGGTTTATCCATTTTGAACACTAGTCACAATTTTGAAACACAAGCAAAAAAAAACAACATGCCTTTTGTTTCTCTTTGTGATGAAAAAAGAAAGCACTAAAATAATTTTTACAACCCACGTTGGTTTTCCAGTGCCCCGAATTCAAATCTTTTTTGGGATGGAGATTTATTATTTTAATCGAAATATAGAAAAGATTAGCTTCAAATACCGTGAGAGATTATGAGTCCTGCCCGGAACTTCCACAATTAATTAAAAAAAAAAAAAACATTTCGCAACGAAGTGCAGACCATTACATAATTCTTCTTTAACAAAAGAGAATAGTCAAATGTAACTAACATGCACGATATCTGAGATCGTATCTTTGATCAACAACGTCGGATCAGGTAACCAGCGAAGAAAAATCCTTCCTAATGACATAGTTTTGTCCGAAAGAGAACAAGAAAAACAGCTGAAAGCGTTTTTGAACACCATAATTAAATCCATGCTCTAATACAACATGTCACTCCCCAAAAATTCCAAACAAATTCTCAGAACATTGCCTAAATAATAAAAGCAATGTGAAAGCAGCAGGCGAATCAACAAATCCTAAATGATCAGAACATGCTAGAGGAGTCAGAAACCTACGATCGATGGTCACATGTAACATTTGTCCGAAACCAGCAGTTGGAGGAGAGTTTCTACAAACAAAGATCAAAGCTACATTGGTTGCAAGTTGGTGAAAGTTGGTGACCAAAATTCAGAATACATATTCTAAATTTCATCAGCAGGCGATTTTTAATTCTGTAGAACATGTACAAAATGCATAATATGTATTCTAAACTTCAAAGAAGATTTTTAAACGTTTAGAGCTAGTTCGCCCTAGAGAGCGTTTCTCTCCCAGGCACGCAGCCCAAGGAAGCTTCAGCCGCCGCACTTGAAATCGAAGATGGATCTTCACCGGCACCTTTCCTCCGATGTGCTCTCCTCCTGACCAGCGTCTTGTCTCCTCTTCCTCCGAGCCGGTTTTGTTTCCTTTCGATCGTTTCTCTCCCACTATTTCGATTTCCGGTTCCGGCCAATCTTTCTCTCCGGCGGCTTTCTTGATGGGCTATGTGGCGCTTTTGAGGACTGAGTTCCCGTGTCTGTCTTTTACTCCGTCGGAGCCGTCAGATCCACCACCGAGTAAGATGTCTCCAGATCTGCTTGAGTCTCTTTCCCTCCTCAAACCTCCTGAACCTCCAGACCCTCCTGATCGTTCCTCCGAGCTCACCTTCCTCACAGCTCTGCCATCCTTCGCTCCTCTCCCGGCCAAAGGCCTTGTGGGTGTTGACCCCTTTGTGCCGTCTCAGCCAATCTCACCGGACCCTCCAGATCCACACGATTTGGAATTTGTCGTGCCTGCTTCAAGTCTCTTGATGGTCTCTTCCAAATCTGGTTCTCCGTCTCATGTGTTCTCCGAAGGTACTGCCTCTTTTCGAGATTTTGACTTTCTTGAACAAATGGATTCGGTTTGGAATCTACCTTTCGTTATGTTTTGTTACCTCAATATGAGGATGGTTCCTATTATATTGTCATGTGGAACGTGTTACTTCAGTATGAGGCTGTGATCTTGATCTTGTGGGGAACAAGTGAATATCTCCATCGCTCATCCTTTGTGGAGTTTCAAAAAGCGGTGGTTTTTCACATGAATCCCTATTTTTGTTCGTCTTACTCTTCTATGGAGCTGTTTGATCTTTTCCTTGTTCGTTTAGGTGAGAAATATCAGAAATATCAGTTTTCAGAGAGAATGATGTGTAAGAGTTTTAGCCACTCAGAGGAAGAATCCAATGTTTTCCTCCCGTGTACTTCTCCTGACTGCTTCCAGGACCTCACTTTGCTTCGGTCCGAGCTCAGGAAAGACTCCCAACTATCGCTGCAGCCATTGCATCATGTTCTGGCCACTTCTAGCTGCATCTACGTCATCTCGACTTTGGTTTCGGACTATGAAGTCCTCTTTAACACCCTACGTTTAGGGTTGGATACAGATGAGATTGCAGGCTTTCTTTTGGATATTAGAAACCTTGCCACTTTCTTCTATCCGTTATCTTTCCATTTTGTACTTTTATTCCTGTTTTATGCAGCTGTTGTGCTTGCCAAATTTGCTTTGTATTGCCTAAACTTTTGGGTTGATCCAGTTTAATTTGAATGAGAATTAGTTGACCAAAAAAAAAAACTTCAAAGAACATATTTTATTCGGAGGCGATCTTCAAATCATGTAGCACATGTACAAAGTACAGTGCATAATACATATTTTAAACTTCGAATAACAAATTTGAAGTTTAAAAGAATTATTCCAAAATTTATACAATAGAACAAAAACAAATATTTTTAGTATTTTTGAAACCTAAAAATTTTGTTTATTATGTTATTTTTTATTTTTCTATATTTTTTATTTTTAAAATATATTTTTAAAAAATATTTTAATTAATTAACTAAATTTAATTTAGTCGAAATATAAACAAAACTTTTAAACATCGAATAAATCAATATGCGTTTATTAAAGATCGCCTGCTGCTGATAAAGAATCTTCGCTTGGCTACAGAACTAGTGAAAGATTATCACAAAGATGAAGTAACTTCCGATATGCAATGAAGATCGAAGGTTTTAATTATGTTCAACGGAATTTTATTTGTAATATCTTCATGACTTTGAATTAGGAGGATTTTTTAAAAGTAAGTGAGGTTTCCATTAAAGGTATTCTCTTTCTACGTATCTGTTTGTGATCAGTATGAACATTCTCTCAAAATTGTTAGATAAAGCAGTGGTGTAGAGGAAATTTAGATATCTTCCCAAGTGTAAAAATCTCTGTTGGAACAAAATTAATAAATATATTGTTGAGCTTTATCAATTTTTGTATGTGTGAATAAAGAATTTGTTGTAGCATATACAAATAAAATGGGATATAACTCTTTGCGGGAAGCTAACAAAGTTAATTTGTCCCACATTGCAAACTCTTACTTAAAACTTAAAATGTACTTACAAATCTTAAATTTTTTGGGAAAAAGCATAAAAACAAGAGAGAGAATGTTTAGATCAGATAAAAGCATAAAGATAAAATAAGATTAATTGATGATAAGGCTTACCTATATAGTCAAAAGATTAAGGCTTGGTCAATGGTCAAAACTCAGATGTTAACCAAAGTCAAAACTCGGATGTTGACTTAAGTCAAAACCAGAGAAAAGCCAAAAGGAAAGAGGTTGCCTTGTCCACACCAGGGTGTAGAAGCCGGTGCGACTGTCCGGTGTGGATCTTCGGAAGTTCTGGGCGTCTTGCAGTGAGGAGGGCAAGCCAGTGTGGCTACCCAGTGTGGATCCTGAGAATTGCTGGTTGCTTTTCTCCGAGGTGCCCAAGCCGGTGCAGCACCCCTGTGTAGCTCCTTGAATCCTCGAGTTCTTTGGCTCCAAGGTGTAGACGCATGTGTGGCTGCCCGTGCGGGTGCTTCTCCTTGGCTTCTCTTCCCTTCTGCTCCCTTCCATCCATCTATTTGAACTCCATTTGATCAGCAGGTCTCCAAATCTCCATAGTACCTGAAATACACTCCAAATGCAACAAAAAATGCATTCCTAATCCTAATGCACACTAATTCTATTATGAATGCAAATGAGACACTTTGGACTATAATTGGATGATATGCTATGAAAAACTATACTAAATGATGCAATTATGCAAGCTATCAACACCCTCACACTTGCCTTTTGCTTGTCCTTAAGGAAACAAGGACAACCAAGGGAATGAAGTTTGAAAATGAGAGTTCAAAGCCTTAAATGCCAAAGAAAGAGTTAAGTTCAATGTCCATGTTAACAGTTCTAAGATGCATATGATTTTGTTATACACTAAAGAATCTAGTTTACGTTCATCATAAGCAATTACAAGTACTCAAGTCCTAGTCTACACAAACAATCACATCAATTAACCCTTTTAACATTTAATTAAATGCAACCAAGTGAATCATGCTTATGCAAATCAAGTGGTTTCATTTGGCTAGGGACAAGGTTATGAGACTAAAATGATCTCATCAAATTTGAACTCACTTAATGAAAATGCAAGGAATCTCTCAAGAAAATAGAATGAGCTTTGGTAAAAATGCTAAAAGTAAAGAACAACTTATGCATACATATGTAAACTTCCATATATCCATGACCCAACAATGATCCTAAACTCCAATGTTTCTACCCAAGAACACATCCTAAATCTACCCTTTTGTTGAAGTAATTTTTGCTTCTTTGATAACACCATTCTTCTTTCTCCTTTGGAGCTTCTTTGAGGATGCATCTTCTTCTTTGTATCTTCTTGGTGGTTAACTTCTTAGTTTGTTTGGGCTCTTCTTTTCCTTGTTGGTGCTTCTCATCCTTTGGATGTGTTTTGGAATTAAGCTTTACACCTTTCTTCTTTGTATTTGGCCCTCTTTGATTTTCTTAACCAACTCTCCCAAGGTATCATGTGATGCACTCTTTCGACTTTGCTCCCTTTTCTTCTTTGATTCTCTTGAATAATCAAAATAAAACCTAGCCTAATCTATCTTAAAAATGAAGAGCTAGTTCTACATGGAAGTCTTTCCGATGTATTTCTAAATCCCAACACTTTTTACTAAACTTGTCTATGGAAAAAGGCCTTTCAATCTCTCACAAATGAATCAATTGTTTGACATAAGGTTATGATTCAATGTGGGGAGTTCTACGTGGACTAACAAGAGTGGCAAAATGAAGAAGAAAGCCTAAGTATATAAGATGATCCATGAAAAATACTTTTCAATGCATAAGACATGATAATTAGAAGATCAAAGTTATGCTTCAAATTACTAAGGATTAAAATCAGCTTATGTATGCTTCAACTAGGCAAGAGTCATAATGCAAAGAATCTCAAATGTGGTTCAACCTTCCGTTCAAACTAGATCACAAGCAGCAAACAACTAATAACTAGGACATTGACTCTAAAATCAAACTTCAGTATTTATGCAAGGCAAACATTATTACTCCCTATGCACATGAATGCAACCTATATGAAATGCATACTAGACTCAATCCTAAGAAAATGAATGAATGTAACTAAATGATTTCTTTTTACATTTTTTTTTTTGGAAAATTTTAAAATGTTTTTGTGGTTTTCTATGCCATAGTTGAAATGCATGAACTAAAATGCTATGAATGATGCAAAAATATGCTAAAGCCATTGTAGAGTCTCACACACTCTCCCCCACACTTAAATTACACAATCTTTTATGTAATAGAAGTGCAAGAGGAGTCAATATCCAACAAGACAATGTAAAATAATAAAAATAAAAATAAAGAGAGGTATGTACAATGGTAGGAGGAGTGTACCTCACTTTCCATAGTAGGAGGAGGTATCCATGGAGTAGGAGTAGTTTCTGGAGTTTGAGAAGTTGCTGGAGAGGGAGGGTGGGGAATGTGTAGCTCGCCTCTTCCTCATTTGGCGTTGCTCATAGGACGAAGCTCTAGGGGGCTCAGCTTCCTCTTGTTCCCCTGGAGGCTCTCTAAAGGATTGGCTCCTTTCTTCACCCATGTTGTTTTCTCCTTGATATTCCTCATACTATTCCTCTTGTGCACCAGAGGAATGGTATGAAAGCTGAAGAAGAGGAATGCAAGGCAAACATCATTACTCCCTATGCACATGAATGCAGCCTATATGAAATGCATACTAGACTCAATCCTAAGAAAATGAATGAATGCAACTACATGATTTCTTTTTGCATTTTTTTTTCTTAAAGCCTTGCCTTTAAGCTTTTGATTTCCTTCTCCATGCCATTCATCTCTTTCTTCATCCCCTTAATGGTATTGACAAGATTTTTGATAGTCCTGTTTTGGCATTTATTCCATATTTGGAGGAGGGATATGCTTGTGAGCTGTCATTGTTGCCTCATTGGGGATTGGGCTGTTGTAAGCATCAAAGTGATACCTAGCACTACTATAGAGGTGCTCTTGCCCTTCTTCTTCCTCAAACCCTTCAGGTGGCACATAAGGTGTACTTGCTGTCTTGGATTTTGTATTGATGGACTCAAGAGGTGGATCCCTCTTTGGGTTTACAAGAGCCTCTGATAGGATGTTGAACATGGCAAGTGCTGGTGAGGCAAAGGAGGTGTACGCAGCCATAGTGGGAAGCAAAATCTTCTTCTTGGTTGTAGGGTTCACAGGGAACTGATATACCAATCTCTGGCCTAAAAACATCCAACAAAGTATTGGGTCTTGGCTAGGTTGTCTCTGTCAATGTAGAGAGGAGAATGTGATGGTGCACCAAGAGAGACATTTTCTGCTTCCAAGATGGGTGTGATGAGGCCTGCAAAGCTAATCATTGGCTTTGAATCATTTGTAGTGGCTATCCAGTGCTTGATGTGTTAGAAACACTTCATCAAGACAGTGACTAACACCATCCCCGAGAGATGCCCTTTGATGGTGTGTATCTTTCATACACTCTTGAGAATGTCTTTGAGACCCTTGCACAAGAAGGTCATCTCCTTTCAAGTACATTATTGCTCTCCTTCCTCTCAAAGAAGATGTTTGCAAGCACCTTGTGTGCATATCTGATAGCAGGATGGTTGATAACAATATTTTTGCAAGGCGAGGTTGCAATGCGGCTATCAAAACTCAAATGCAAAACCAGGTTGTAGTACAGTATGCAAGTGAGTGTCAATCCATTCCCAGGAGCTAGAAAGGTCAGAGAGAATGCAAGGGCAATGTAAAGCTAAGAAAATGATAAGCGATTTTGTAAAAATCCTAAAAACTATATGCAGCAATCAAATGGAATGCGAAACTATTTTAAATTTACTAGGAAATAGTGAACTACCACGACAAAAAGACAGAATGATAAAAATGCAAAGCTATGAATTTATAAAAATTGACTAGTGGATCGACCACAAGATCGACCACTAGATCGAGCGGTTTGGATTGATCTCGTCTAAAAATGCAAGTACGAAGAAACTAATGACCAGGATGCGACGAGTATCAAGCGAATGATTGACGGAGATGTAAGAATGCTAAGAAAGAAGGGTCTAGGGTTGAGATTCATGTTAGGGGTTTCAAAGGCCCAAGCTTGGTTTGAAAACTCTAGATCTACTCACTTTGTGAGATTCTCTAAGCCTTGAAAACAAAACAAGACCCATCCATGGCGTGTGGTATGAATCACTCTCTAATTCTCTCCTCCAGACCCATGGCGTTTGGC